CCCCCGGGGAACCTGGGGGGCCCTATACACTGTGGGGGGCCCCTTCGAAAGCAGGTGGCCCCCTCCTGGGCGAAATCCTGGGTACGTGCCTGGCCGATCGAGACAAAACCGGCAACCGCCACCAGTTGGACGGTTTGCCATATAATTTCATGAGTCGTTTTGAATATGTTGGCCTCAGGTGAGCTCGGTGACCTCAGGAGGTCTTATGCGCGTTTCCGCCTACTCTAAAACTTAGAAACTACTGGAACGATCGAGACTGATCACTGAAACCAAGACTGAAACGCTACCGGTCGAGTCGTCATATGAGATTTCACCGGACGTTTTGAGCATGGTGACCTCAGGTGACCTAAGTGACTTGGCAGGCCACCTGAGCGTTTTCGTCTATTATTGCAGCCACCCTAGCTCAAAAAACTATGAAACCAATCGAGACGAAAAATGAAAATACCACTATAGTCGATTCGCCGTATGCAATTTATTTATATTTTCAATGTGGTGACCTCAGATGACCTTGGTGACCTTTAGAGTTTAGCTTGATGATTTCGCATAAGGCAATCAGGTGACCTCCCAAAGTTCGCTGAGGTCACCTGAGGTCAACATATTCGAAATGCTTGATGAAATCGCCTATCTCAATTCGATAAGGTGCTATAGGTATATATATACTTTCGTAATTCGTCCCGATCGGTCCGGTGGTTTCTTAATTGTTATAACTGGAGTGCGGCATGGCTGTAAGGGCGGTGGTCGAGAAGGTAGTGTTATCCGTTGCTGAGTTACCTACAGGATTGCTGCAATTGATATAGTACCTATACGCAAAAAGTTAACCTCACAGGGTCATCCGAGTACACCTGAGGTCATCATATTCGGAGCGGCTGACAAAAGCATCAGCAGAACTTTGGTTCGAAAGGCACCGTTTTCGCTTCGATCGGTACGGCGGTTCCAACTTCCAGGTTCCTAATTTGAGGGATGACTGTGGATCGAATAGGTACCTCATGTTCCATCAATTCTATAATTCCATCAAAAAATGACGAAAACGATGAGATAAAAGAAAAATAAATAAAAACAACAAGACGGATGGAGAGGCCTGCATGCACCCGAGCTAGCTGCTCTTTTTGGAAGAGCGGAAAAGGAGCCGAACGGTAGGTAAGATGATCCGGATAATTCGCACGTGCGATTGGAGCTGACCCACATACGGCGGCTGATCAGTCACTGCACACGGTTCTTGACGTGCCGACAGATTATCCTGCTGAGAGACCAAAGCTGTTACGTCGGAGAGACGGCCCACGCGGTGACCTCAACCGCAGGCGACTGCACGGCCGGCGGCGTGTGCGGTCGCGTGGTATACTACACATGCATGAGAGAGCCCCGGCCAGCGATTCATCGCTGTCATTTGATCGGCCCGCTGTAGTCTGGGAGCCGCCCGACACCTGTCATCGGAAGTTGAACGGTGAACCCAGTTGTCACGTGTGACAATTACAAATACGTTCAGTTGTGTGATAATTCTCGGTAGACGGAATAGCATGAAGATCGAGGTTTTGCGTGTAGGTATTAATTCTTAGACTTCTAACGCATTCGTCTAACGTAAGTATAAGTTTATTGCCATTTGCCATTCATAACAAGACTTTTATGCAACATTTAAACCTCACCCATATTGGTGTTTTGCCAGCCGCGAACGTATACCTAAGGGGGAGGGGGTCCGTTGGAACCCCTCCGCATTGCCGTTTCGCCCCTGATTGAGCTAGAGCTTCGCGGAAAAAACGAGCGTGTTGCCCCTGACGAGAGAAAACCGATGATACCCAATTTTAACCCGCGCCCCGTAGGGGGGGGCCGAAACGGCCTCCCCCTGTCCTTTTCGGTCGATATCTCCTAAACGGCTGGAGATATCGCCACCAAACTTTCAGGACCCCTCCGGGCATCAATTTTACACATTGTGACCAATAATTTTTCCAGAGGCTGTGATAGGTTGGCCACAAATGACGTCAGAGTGACGTCATGTTCTGTCATTTTCGACCGAAAAAAGACCTTCGCGAGAAGACCTGTCAGGCCTACAGCTTTGAAGATACAGAAAAATGATCAAAACATAAAAGGTGTAGAATTGACAGGGCTACAAAACTGCTATCTCGGATTTTTGAAATTTTTGAGTTTTAATCCCCAAAAATCAAAAAAGCATTTTTTTGGATATATTAGCCAAAAAATCCAAAAAGTTTTTTGAGTTTCGGAAAAACCGCAATATATGTGATAATACCTACCGTCTTCTATCTACATACCAAATTTCAGATCGATACCTCGTTTTTTGGCCAAGTTATAGCGAAAAAACTGTTCAAAAATGATGACGTCAAATTTTCAAACTCAATTTTTGGCGATTCTAGAACTCGTAGAGCAAAACAAAGACCACCATTAGACTCCCCGTGACGAGCTGCATCGAATGGATACCCATTTTATGCAAAAATATCAACTTTGAAATTTGACCTAATTTGACCTGACCTTGACCTGAACTTCACCAAAACGTGACCTAGGCTGGCCCCAAAGGCTGCCTAACCCACATAATCGCATTTGTCATGTAAAATGGACCATGAAACATGTATCACACGACACATTCATATTGTGACCCCCGGTGACCTGACCTCGCTGTGACCTGACCTGGTATCAGTGACCTCAGATAGCAAAGTATGTGTTTGACGAACAATATACCATCGATGGTTTTCAATAAATTACCAATTTACTCGATTTCACAGCACATTTCTTGAATTGCCTGTGAACGGTGAAAACCTGACCTTTGACCTGACCTGTGACGTCATCGGTTTGACCTAGGTCAATGAAATTTGGTCACAAGGTAGTTTCCGGGTAGGGCTATCAAACGCCGTTTGAATTTTGAAAATCGGCCGGTAACTTTCCGAGATCTTAGGGGGGGGCCGAAACGGCCCCCCCTACGGGTGGTAGGGTCCGCCGGTAGCCCTACGGGGCGCGGGTTAAGGTCCTAGATCATCAGTTGACCTTCCAGGTCAGATCAATGACCCAAAAGTCGGGAAAATCGGGACCTGTTAAAACGTTGTAAAGTGTGGCTGCTATAATATATTTTCGGGGTGCTGATCACGAATATCATGTTAGTTTTGATCACAGATGTTTCCATGCATTTAGGCCAGGTCGGGTCAGGTCAGGTCAGGTAAGGTAAACCAGTAGGGGTCCTGCCGGGTATTCGTAGTAAGTGTCAACCGCCTCTGACAGCTTCGTAACATGTTACGAATGCACCACAACCACTTCTTAATTCAGCTGGATGCTAAATTCGATTTCAGCTCCAAAAACTAGCTTAAAAACATGTGGGTCATTCCACGTCAAATCGATCACGAATGTACCCGACCCCTTTCGATTTGGATGAAATTTGGTAGGCTCTTAGCACCTGTGAAAAACAATACATCCTACAAGTTTTAGTCCTTGATGACCTCTGAGGTCAGAGTTATGGGTCATGAAAGGTCAACGATTTTTGCCGACATTGCGGGATTTAAATGCCCATTGCTCTGTAAGTAAGAGTGCGGGGAAGCTGCGGCAAGCGCCATTAGAGAGGCAATGAATGTAGGTTTTATAGAAAACTGTATATATGTCGGTGACCTTTCAATGACCTTCGACCTGACTAGGTCAAACTGGGTATTTTCAAATTTGACCGTGTTCTGTACCTCAGATGTTTACGAATAATTAGCAGAAGATGTATCATACCCCGCGTTCGATGTCTCTCGGACGACAAAGATTCTACGCCGTCCGTCCAATCTCGTTCAAGGTCAGTGGGGGCTCGGCTGCGGCTATGGAACGTGATTGGCCGGACGACATAGAATCTTCGCCGTCCGAGAGACATCGAACGCAGGGATAGTATTGACAGTAAGTAAGGCAAAAAATATTTCTGGGGAAATTCTAACTTGTAAAGAAATAAATCATCATATCAAGCCAAACGCGATATACGAAATATGCCCTGAGGCTAGTTGACGAATCCCGGCTAATTTCCCGCCTCTCGTTGGCCCGATTGGGCTACAATTTGGTATGCACAATACACTGATACCCGACCCGAGGTTGATACTCGATTTTAAGGTCCTAGGTCAACCGGTGACCTCTGAGGTCAGGTCAAGTGTCCCAAGGCACGGTTCGGTTTTTGGCGAATAACTTCGCAAAAAACGGCCGCAGAGCCGCGATTTTGGCAGCATCGTGTTTGCCTTGCTCAGGCGCGTCGAATGATATACTTTTTGTTTGGGTGAGGTCAACAGCTTTGGGTGAGTGACCTGGGGACGCTGACCTGACCGTGAACACGATGCTGCCAATTGCCAAAATCGCGGCTCTGCGGCCGTTTTTTTTTGCGAAGCTATTCACCAAAAACCGAACCGTGCCTTGGGACACTTGACCTGACCTCAGAGGTCACCGGTTGACCTAGGACCTTAAAATCGGGTATCAACCTCGGGTCGGGTATCAGTGTATTGTGCATACCAAATTGTAACCCAATCGGGCCGACGAGAGGCGGAAAATTAGCCGGGATTCGTCAAATAGCCTCAGGGCATATTTCGTATATCGCGTTTGGCTTGATATGTATGATGATTTATTTCTTTACAAGTTAGAATTTCCCCAGAAATATTTTTTACCTTACTTACTGTCAATACTATGATACATCTTCTGCTAATTTTTCGTAAACATCTGAGGTACAGAACACGGTCAAATTTGAAAATACCCGGTTTGACCTAGTCAGGTCAAAGGTCATTGAAAGGTCACCGACATATATAAAATTTTCTATAAAACCTACATTCATTGCCTCTCTAATGGCGCTTGCCGCAGCTTCCCTGCACTCTTACTTACAGAGCAATGGGCATTTAAATCCCGCAATGTCGGCAAACATCGTTGACCTTTCATGACCCATAACTCTGACCTCAGAGGTCACCCAGGACTAAAACTTGCTGAATAGATTTCCTTCCATGGGCACCCCAAGCATACCAAATTTCATCGAAATCGAAAGGGGTAGGGGTCGAAAGTACCAAATCTGATCGATTTGACGTGGAATGACCCATGTATAACTCGAAAAAGTGAACAGAGGTCATCAAAGCTTTTACTCCCGTCTCGCGCTCTCAAATTGGCACTAAATTTCTCTGCGCTGGTCGTTTGAGAATCGTTGGCGATCTCCACCCCTTGTTCGCCTGTCGGCCCTCCTGCCGATATTTTACCGCCGCGCCCGCACGTATATCGGCCGTTTTCTGGGCATTCTGTTTGTCTGTGTGTCGGTCGTCGGTGCGTGAGTCTGTGTCGGGGTGAGTCAGCCGCCACGGTCGGCCGCCCTTTCCAGGTACCCGCCCCACCCCGCCCCGCCCCGGCCGGCCCGCTGCGGCAGCTCGGTGTGTGCGACATGCAGTTCGGCTCGGGCGACGCGCTGCCGACGCTCAGTCGTGCTCCGAACCCCGTCGCCGCCGGTCGTCGCACTGCCGGGCTGCTGCTGGGGCCCTCCTGCTGGTACAGAGACCGGACAGCGGCGGCGGCGGGTCGACTGGCCAACCGAGACATCGCATTTTAACTGCAACTACAAGGTGAGCGAGGTCTTGTGAATGTGCACCCTTTCCTTTGTGCACAGTTCACAAGGTTTGACGTAGCTACTAGCTATGGCAACACAATGCAGTACACCGTCACGCATATTTAATTGCGTGTTTATGGTCCGTTAAACGGCTCGATCAATAAGTGCGAGGCAATGCACCGTTTCTTTCCCGGACAGGCCTGGTAACTTTAATTCGGCGCTATTCGGCTGCATACGTAACACGGAATAGACGGTGTAGCCTTTTATCCCAAGGTATCATTAGACGCGTTTACATGGGGTTTGTTGCAAGCTTATATCTCCGTCCGTGATGTTGCAAAAGATGCCAATGATGCTGAACAATTTACAAAATGATCCCCTCTAAATATTTGAAGACCACTGCATCGAAATTATCGCCAAATTAACGAGCTAGAGCCTCGTCAAATATGCTATGTAAACCGGGTTAATGTCACCCCGGTCACCCCAATGTGTCAAAATTATATAACATTTTTTTCGGTTCATAACATTTTCAAGTATCATTTTACGCGTTTTATGTAATGCAGGACGGCATACTTTTGCAGCGAACGAAAGTCATTGGAATGCCGTTTAATTGTCCTGGGACACTAAAACACCGGCGCTACGATAGAGGTCACCGTGATGTCCACCGTATCACTGAGACCGTATCAGCGTGCCGCTATCCGTTCACAGCCCTATTTATCGGCCTCTGTGGGCTGTGGCGTCATTTCGACACGCTATACCGCGGGCTGCCAGCCGGAAATCAATCACACGGGCCAGTTTTTTACAGCGCAACATGGCTGACGTGGCGGGCAGGAACGACTTTTCCAGGAAAATAACCCAACTAACTAGACGTTGGCATAAACTCCACGAAGGTTTTCGAATGCTTGTTTCATTGTTAGCCGCGGGAATGTTGAAAACACAGAGAGTTGTTGCGAAAAGCGACCTCGCATACCGTTTCATTAGCTGTATCTAACAGTACGAACGCATTCCTATCATCAGTCCCCTGACTTTTCAGATGCTGCTGCCAACCCTCCTCCTCGGGTGTTTCCTGTTGGTGGCGGATGTAACCGGTCACAAATATTCGACCAGCAAATGTCCGAATCCCAATCCCGTGAAGGACTTCGACGAGTCTCAGGTAAGCGTGATCTAGGCAAAAAAGGAAATACTGTCAGAATACTTTAGTGGAAATGGAACAGAGACGGAATGCAATTTTATGTAAAAAGCATTCATATGAAAACGGTTTCTGCGGTCTTGTCAGTCTCGGGGACAGGACAGACCAGCAGCGATCACCAATTGTTCAACTTTTGACCGCGTGCGACCTGTCCGCCTCTCCTCTCTCAGATCCTGGGAAAGTGGCGCGTCGAGTACGCCGTGAAGACGACCAGCACGTGCTTCGACATGGACTTCCGCAAGGAGGGCAGCCAGCTCATGGTGTACGAGACCAAGGAGCCGGCGGCGCCCGAGAAGCTCAGCCTGGATGTCAAGTACGGCTCGGTGGGCACCCTGGCCTCCACGGCCCAGGCCGGCTACTACCAGGCCTCCTTCTCCACCAGTGAGTTCCGTACACAGACAGTTCTGAGCCCGGCAATTGTTTGTAGCTTCTCATGATCCTAAGCATTAATTTCTAAGAATTTCCAGCCTGAGTCAATAATAGTCGCTCGCTAGTTTACAAAATACTTGTAAGCTGTACATAAATGACTTTGCTTCCTTACCAAGACATATGTTTGCTAAAAATATTTTTATCGCCGTTTAAATTTGATGGATCCGTCCTTACGCTGACTGCGAGTGATATTCATTTCGCGGGCGTTCACTGGATGTTACGATTCTAACAAAATCACATCATAAATGAGGTGATTTTATGGTATATATGCGATTTACGACATCACCGACCACCTGCACTACCCGGCACCAGCTGCCTCAAACTGGGCTCACGCATCACGGTCGTCATCAGAGTCATGTCACGTCCTGTCCCTGTCCCGGCCACCGGGTGCGAATAATGTCGGCAGCCGTGGTCAGCGTCGTGCTAGGGCTTGCGGCACGGAATGTGTAGCTATGTATAAGGACAGATATAGTTTGACGACAAATATATGTCGTTTGACTATATGTATGTCCCGTGCTGGTGGTGTGCTGATGCTGACGAATACCATGGCGGTGCGGTCAAATGGTGAATATTGAACCGAGCAAAAATCACACCTATCTTAGTTGAACCGAGCTATGTCTTCGAAAGCAACCCTTAGATATCTGTTGTAGGGCACACTCACCCATTCTCAAAGCATTCCCCAAAAGGGGAAATCGAATAACGCCTCCTCTCCATCAGTGCAACTCCAAAGCACCCCTTTATCGCCACCTTCCCTGCATCTTGCCTCGGTCACGGTGCCTCCCATGACAGCCTGTCTACGCTCTCCGCTCTCAGGCGTGATTTCCGGCCGGTTCGTGGTGCTGGACACCGACTACAAGACCTACATGGTGGTGTTCCACTGCATGCAGATGTCCATCCTCGGCAGCAGGAGGGCCGTCTACGTCCTCTCCAGAGACGGCGCCAAGATCACCGACGAACGGCTCAAGCAGGTGCGTACCAATGCTGTTTTATTACCTTATTTATGCAGATTATTTTACTAATAAAGAAAACACGGGATCGCATGACTCAGTACGGATAGATCGTAGACCGGCTATGTTTGCCGCGGAAAACGTTAGTCATACGATATGTACCCTAGTAACTATGTAAGTAATCATAGGCGGATGCAAGGCGGATGCATGACGCATGTTAGGATGTACATAGAAGGACGACAAATAATAAGCCAGGCGATGACTAGATTGATAGTCAGCCGGAACCAACCCGACTTTTTCCGTCCCAGGGAGCGGTCGTCCAAAAGTCAAGTGGTAGGTAGTCAACGTTCTACTTACTTGACTTGTCTGCATTTATAAGTGTCCGCATTTCGACAAGACAAGTCTGTTCCTAATCGTATACATAAAGATACAACTGATTACCAGTTTTCGTCACATTTCCAACCGAACCTACCCACATCCGGTTGCCCGAAAGCCGCCCCCATTCACCGCCTCGCCCTCAAACCATTGGCTCCGGCGGTCGCCTGTCCTTGTCGCTCCGTCAGCCACGCGCGTCCCGGGTCAGAAGCCGAGTCGCTGCGGCGCTGCCGCAGCTCTCCGTGACCGGTGACGCATACATACATTACACGGCCTTACACGTCATCGTCTGGCCAGCCGGGCTCAATTGTACCGAACGGCTTCCTTGGTCCGCGAGCGGTGTCTGAGAACGGCACCTAACGCACCGCGCTGACGAGAGAATGCAGCCATGTTCCGTGTAGTCCCGCTCATGAATGGTATGCGAGCTGCAACAGGTCATCATTCAAGTGTTTGGTAGGTGCCAAGATGGGATGAATGGGCGAGCCCATGCGCTTTATCATATGGAATGTCGGATGGGTTGTTATCAGTCGGCAGTCAAATGGAATTAATACGTTCCTCGAAGTCGAGCGGCCCCTTTTGCCGCGTTCGTATAGCACTCAAACCATTCCAGAATAAACGGTCGACAAACGGGAGCAAAGTTTCTGAATAGAAGAAGCAACAAATGTTTTATGCTTTATCCGAACTTTTCCGATGAAGATACTTTGCGAAGTTTTTGTTTCTCTGTTGCCGATTCCATAGACAAATCATCGAAATAATCACGAACCTACATAGATTAAGCGAGTGCTGATCTGTGATCTTTGACTGCTAACCTGTATGACCTCTGACGACCTGTGACCTCTGACAACCTGTGACCTCTGACCTCTTGACTGTGGCCCCTAACTGCCGACCTGTAGCCTCTCACTGCTGACCTGTACGCCCTCTGACCGTCCCCCCGCGACCCTCCGCCGTCAGGTGCGCGCCCGGCTGCCCGAGCTGGACGTGGAGGCCGGCCTGCTGGCCAAGGTGTCCCACGAGCAGTGCACCACCGCCGAGCAGGCCGACGTCGACCTCACCGGATCCGTCAACGTCAAGGACGTGCTGAAGGCCGCCAAGAAGGTCGTCACCGTCGGCGGCGGCATCCTGGAGCTGGTTCAGGTGTTCGGTGCCCTCGGCTGAGCTGAGCTGAGGGCGCTACAGCTGGGCTGAGGGCGTCCCAGCTGGGCTGAGCGCGTCAAACGCTGGGCTGAGAGCGTCCCAGCTGGGCTTGGGGCGATACACGCTGAGCCGAGTGCTTCAGTCAGACTCGGGGGTGAGTGCGCCTGACTGTCGAGCGACCAGTGGTTGGTGCTCTGTGTGTTGTCTCCTTGCGAAGAGGATGGTGAAGCACGGGTGTTTTTTATGCATAGGTATCTGTTAACTCAATGCGTTCCAGAAGCGAAATTGAACGGGGGTGTATTATCGTTTCAAAATTAAAACAGAGTGGAGAGCAATATGATCGACTTTCAACCTGATCACGTTATGATTTATCAGTCCCTACTTTGTAGAAAAAAATATCTGTGAACAAAATACAAATCCCATTCCACTTTATTGAAAGGTAACGCTCATCAATCGTGATGAATGCTCCATATTTATGTGAATCGTAGCTTTATTGGGTCAACCTCCCAAAAATTGTATGTGTTTTAACATTGCTTTAAGCCACCAGTCGCTGCTTTAAGAACAAGTACAGTCTGTCTTAAAGGTACCGCGCAAAGTAACGGTGGATCCATCAAGCCTGACCGAGGGCTTAATTTGAGTCAGGGTATATTGAGTGAAGGGTAGGACGAACATTGGTAGGAATTTCTAGTATAACTACTAGAAAACCTACTATATGTGGTCGGGACTAGCTGAAAGTTAGTTCAAACTAGAATATGGTAGCGCTTTTGGTTGGCAGTCGTGACGCGCACGTGACATTCATTTCTTAAATTTCTTAAATAGCAGGTTTTAGGGGCCGATTAGTGGGCAGAAACATTCAATTAGCTATTAATAATTGATTATGCAAACATTCAAGAATATAAATCATTCAATTCTAGCCAAAATCACGCGGCGCTCCCAGGATTCGAACTCACGACCCTCGGATCCGTAGCCCGATACGCTGCCGACTGCGCTACCGCGGACCGTGCGCCGACGATCGGAGAGGCGGATCGCGGGTGCTGGCGTGCAGAGAAATCTTTACCCTGTACGCCGTAGAAGATCGGCTGGGTTTCGTGAAAAATGGTAGAGGAATTGTCGAAAGAAAATTCATCGATCTATCATTTGAGACTAAGAACCATCGATTCCTTCAAAGGTTGACCGAGATATCGCTCACCGAAAACAGGCCATTTAACATGTACACCCTATGGGCTGGTAGGAAATGTACGCCGTGGAGCAGCAGTGCTACCAACTAACTTCGGCGGGGGCCGAATTTGAGTCACCGAAGCAATGGACATCCTCGTCCATTGCCCAGGTCAAATGGCTCGGTGACTTTTAAATTATAGCAGGCACTTCCTCGGTCAGGTTTGATGGATCCAACGTCACTTTGCGCGGTACTTTTAAGACAGACTGTGCATTATTTGTTGTGTAGGAACTAGGAACGAAGCGTTGGAACGAATGCTAAGTCGTCGTTGTTGAAACATGTTATTTTGTTTGTGATTGGGATTGCGTCGATTGCGTATTGTGTCTCATTACTAGTGACTGTCAGCAAGATATCGCACAAGAACGCGATCCAGCGCGATCTTTTCGCGTCGCGATCACTCAGTAATGTCCATCAAGTTAGCGTCGTATTCGTATTCGTTTTCAGCGTCGAGTTCAAAACATCGCCAAACTATGCCAAACGATAGATCTTGACACGCTGATTCCAAAAATATCACTCATTTTTTCCTAGGTCAAATATTTTGACCTCTAGGGGCAAAAAACCTCTCTGGCTATAAACAACAATAAGGTACTTCTTTATTTACCGTCCGATCGGGCTGAAACTTACACAAAACATGTGCCGCCACACAGGGATGCGTCACAATCAACAAAATCGCCGATCGAGGTCAAAGGTCAAGGTCATATTTGCGAAAAACCGTTATTTTTCGACGGGGTACCAAATAAAAACTTTATTTACCGTCCGATCGGGCTGAAACTTACACAAAACATGTGCCGCCACACAGGGATGCGTCACAATCAACAAAATCACCGATCGAGGTCAAAGGTCAAGGTCATATTTGCGAAAAACCGTTATTTTTCGACGGGGTACCAAATAAAAACTATATTTACCGTCCGATCGGGCTGAAACTTACACAAAACATGTGCCGCCACACAGGGATGCGTCACAATCAACAAAATCGCCGATCGAGGTCAAAGGTCAAGGTCATATTTGCGAAAAACCGTTATTTTTCGAAGGGGTACCAAATAAAAACTTTATTTACCGTCCGATCGGGCTGAAACTTACACAAAACATGTGCCGCCACACAGGGATGCGTCACAATCAACAAAATCGCCGATCGAGGTCAAAGGTCAAGGTCATATTTGCGAAAAACCGTTATTTTTCGACGGGGTACCAAATAAAAACTTTATTTACCGTCCGATCGGGCTGAAACTTACACAAAACATGTGCCGCCACACAAGGATGCGTCACAATCAACAAAATCGCCGATCGAGGTCAAAGGTCAACGTCATATTTGCGAAAAAACCGTTATTTTTCGACGGGGTACCAAATAAAAACTTTATTTACCGTCCGATCGGGCTGAAACTTACACAAAACATGTGCCGCCACACAAGGATGCGTCACAATCAACAAAATCGCCGATCGAGGTCAAAGGTCAAGGTCATATTTGCGAAAAACCGTTATTTTTCGACGGGGTACCAAATAAAAACTTTATTTACCGTCCGATCGGGCTGAAACTTACACAAAACATGTGCCGCCACACAGGGATGCGTCACAATTAACAAAATCGCCGATCGAGGTCAAAGGTCAAGGTCATATTTGCGAAAAACCGTTATTTTTCGACGGGGTACCAAATAAAAACTTTATTTACCGTCCGATCGGGCTGAAACTTGCACAAAACATGTGCCGCCACACAAGGATGCGTCACAATCAACAAAATCGCCGATCGAGGTCAAAGGTCAAGGTCATATTTGCGAAAAACCGGTATTTTTCGACGGGGTACCAAATAAAAACTTTATTTACCGTCCGATCGGGCTGAAACTTACACAAAACATGTGCCGCCACACAAGGATGCGTCACAATCAACAAAATCTCCGATCGAGGTCAAAGGTCAAGGTCATATTTGCGAAAAACCGTTATTTTTCGACGGGGTACCAAATAAAAACTTTATTTACCGTCCGATCGGGCTGAAACTTACACAAAACATGTGCCGCCACATCGGAGCCCGATCGGACGGTAAATAAAGTTTTTATTTGGTACCCCGTCGAAAAATAACGGTTTTTCGCAAATATGACCTTGACCTTTGACCTCGATCGGCGATTTTGTTGATTGTGACGCATCCCTGTGTGGCGGCACATGTTTTGTGTAAGTTTCAGCACGATCGGACGGTAAATAAAGTTTTTATTTGGTATCCCTTCGAAAAATAACGGTTTTTCGCAAATATGACCTTGACCTTTAACCTCGAACGGCGATTTTGTTGATTGCGACGAATTCCTGTGTGGCGGCACATGTTTTGTGTAAGTTTCAGCCCGATCGGACGGTAAATAAAGTTTTTATTTGGTACCCCGTCGAAAAATAACGGTTTTTTCGCAAATATGACCTTGACCTTTGACCTCGATCGGCGATTTTGTTGATTGTGACGCATCCCTGTGTGGCGGCACATGTTTTGTGTAAGTTTCAGCCCGATCGGACGGTAAATAAAGTTTTTATTTGGTACCCCGTCGAAAAATAACGGTTTTTTCGCAAATATAACCTTGACCTTTGACCTCGATCGGCGATTTTGTTGAGTGTGACGCATCCCTGTGTGGCGGCACATGTTTTGTGTAAGTTTCAGCCCGATCGGACGGTAAATAAAGTTTTTATTTGGTACCCCGTCGAAAAATAACGGTTTTTCGCAAATATGACCTTGACCTTTGACCTCGATCGGCGATTTTGTTGATTGTGACGCATCCCTGTGTGGCGGCACATGTTTTGTGTAAGTTTCAGCCCGATCGGACGGTAAATAAAGTTTTTATTTGGTACCCCGTCGAAAAATAACGGTTTTTTCGCAAATATGACCTTGACCTTTGACCTCGATCGGCGATTTTGTTGATTCTGACGCATCCTTGTGTGGCGGCACATGTTTTGTGTAAGTTTCAGCCCGATCGGACGGTAAATAAAGTTTTTATTTGGTACCCCGTCGAAAAATAACGGTTTTTCGCAAATATGACCTTGACCTTTGACCTCGATCGGCGATTTTGTTGATTGTGACGCATCCTTGTGTGGCGGCACATGTTTTGTGTAAGTTTCAGCCCGATCGGACGGTAAATAAAGTTTTTATTTGGTACCCCGTCGAAAAATAACGGTTTTTCGCAAATATGACCTTGACCTTTGACCTCGATCGGCGATTTTGTTGATTGTGACGCATCCCTGTGTGGCGGCACATGTTTTGTGTAAGTTTCAGCCCGATCGGACGGTAAATAAAGTTTTTATTTGGTACCCCGTCGAAAAATAACGGTTTTTCGCAAATATAACCTTGACCTTTGACCTCGATCGGCGATTTTGTTGATTGTGACGCATCCCTGTGTGGCGGCACATGTTTTGTGTAAGTTTCAGCCCGATCGGACGGTAAATAAAGTTTTTATTTGGTACCCCGTCGAAAAATAACGGTTTTTCGCAAATATGACCTTGACCTTTGACCTCGATCGGCGATTTTGTTGATTGTGACGCATCCCTGTGTGGCGGCACATGTTTTGTGTAAGTTTCAGCCCGATCGGACGGTAAATAAAGTTTTTATTTGGTACCCCGTCGAAAAATAACGGTTTTTCGCAAATATGACCTTGACCTTTGACCTCGATCGGCGATTTTGTTGATTGTGACGCATCCCTGTGTGGCGGCACATGTTTTGTGTAAGTTTCAGCCCGATCGGACGGTAAATAAAGTTTTTATTTGGTACCCCGTCGAAAAATAACGGTTTTTTCGCAAATATGATCCTTGACCTTTGACCTCGATCGGCGATTTTGTTGATTGTGACGCATCCCTGTGTGGCGGCACATGTTTTGTGTAAGTTTCAGCCCGATCGGACGGTAAATAAAGTTTTTATTTGGTACCCCGTCGAAAAATAACGGTTTTTCGCAAATATGACCTTGACCTTTGACCTCGATCGGCGATTTTGTTGATTGTGACGCATCCCTGTGTGGCGGCACATGTTTTGTGTAAGTTTCAGCCCGATCGGACGGTAAA